CAGAATAGGTGGGACAGGAGGAGCAGGAAGCAAGAGAATTGAAAGGTGGTCTGGTGAGACACAAGATAAGTAGGCTGAGGTCCCATTATGGGATGGGGTCCCTAAGCCTGGGGATTGAGCTTGTCAAGGCCCTGCAGGATTCTCACTATCATGTCATGCAAAAAGATCATCTGCCCTTGGATTGGCTCTTGAAAAGTGGAGATGACAAGGTATACTTTTGATGGAGAAGCGCTCCAACCCTTGATTCCTAAGCTGCAGAAGGTAGCTGAGGATGGCCTGGAGTGGGGCATGACCTGGTGAGATGAGATACATTCCAAAACCCAAAGGAAGAACCTCTTCCACTTTGCCTGATATGGCAGGTACATAAATGGCTTCCTGCTGCCAAGGAGGACCTGCTGGACTTCATCCTAGGAGGTGTACTCTTCCTCGTTTAATCACGTAGCATGCATACCGAAAGATGGAGGGATGCGAGATTGAGCTGCAAAAGTCAACCTGGATCCCGCAACAGTCCACGTGATTCAGAAGGGCCATGGCAGCTGCTCATGAATGCCATTCTCTCTGATCATGAATGTTCTCTGATCATGGCCGTGCTCATGAATGCACCTGTCAGGGTTGTTCCGCATTCTGGTACTCCAAGTGCAGAAGGTGGGGGCCCACAAAAGACCTTAAATACCTTGCATCTATCTGGTCTGCTTACAAAAAACAAAACACACTCCCCAGAATCACAGACGCACTGTATCTGGAAAATAGGCTGCCACCATCAAGCCATTTAAACCCTGAAAAAACGGGAAGGAATAAAACAGGAGGGAACACTTGAATTCCTTCCCCAGGGGTGCCACAAGAGAGCTTGAAAAAAGAAACAAAAGGCATAGAAAACAAACTCTCTCTGATAGTTGTCCTCTTAAGCTAGGTAGACACACACACACACACAGACCTCGTTACCTTCCAGGACACAAGAAACAAATTGTCTTAATAAAATCACCTTTTTTAACAAAACAAAAAGATAAACTTAATAAAACATGATTTGTTGCCAGGTGTTACAGAGCAAGTAAAACAACAAATTGAAACACAGAGAACATAGTATCTCTGGGTAAAGCTTAAATAGTGAATGGGGTGGTGGTGGTGGTGGAGGAGGGGGGAGTACATGGATTCTACCAAAATAAAGAAAAATACCCTGATTGTGACTAAATGCACATTTATCCTTATTTACTCATGACCCCTTCATGGTCCAGTCTACTTCCGTGTCCCAAATTTCACGGAGGCATTGTAGTCCTGATGACTGCATCTGTTCCCTCCAGCCCTTAGCTTAGAACTCACACAAGGAGAGCAGGCAAGGTATCTATATATAAATCAAATGTCTGCACTGTATCCCACTGGTTTTTCTGGCCCCCTGCCAACACCCTTTCTAGCTACCTGAGTTTAACCTTTAGTCACTGGGTGATGGCCATCACTTCTATCTATCACAGCACTGAACCAGTGTTGGCGGGGCCACACCAGAGTGATCAGGATCACTCAAACCTTCTCTAGTTTGATCCAATACAAGACCCAACTGATAAGAGGGATTGGCAGACATACATGCAGCATTTCTTCAGACCACAGTAGGAGAAATGCATCTGAGGTGGAGCCCTTTTCCAGCACTCTTCCCTCCAACCCCAAGAGCAAAACCACTGGCATTTTATGCTTTGCTCAATAGCGAATGGATCCACGAAGGGAAGATCCCACCTTCGGAAGACTGTGCCAGCCATGTCTGGGTGAAGCAACCACTTGTGGTGAGAAGTCAAGTCCTCACTGAGGAATTCCATCAGAGTGCTGTCCACTCCTGGGAGACGGAAGGCCTCTAGTTAGATGTCATGACCCAAGGATCAGCAGGTCACTAGGAGGACCACTATATTCTGTCTCAGACCTTGAGCTATCCTTGACCAGCCAGTTATTGAGGTAAGGATAAATATGTATGCCCTGACACCTGGAGCATGGCTGCCACCTAACACTAGCTAATATATATTTGTTAACCATACTCCAAGTTATTGGAGATGACCTCCCAGGTGGAGTCAAAATAACCTACAGGATGGATGGTAGCCTCTTCAATCTGGGCCACTTCAGAGCCAAGCAATCGTTGATGTTTTTGCTGCTGCCTATTACAGGCTAGGACTGACTCTCAATGGACGAAAGACAACGGTTCTATTTCAGCCAACACCCACCATACCGTTATCTGAACCAGCCATCACAGTGGATGACCAAGTAAAAAAAACTTTCCCTATCCCCAAACTTATTTGTCTAGCAGCACTCATGATGAAATCTGCCACCAACTCTTCAGTGCCAATGTGGATTATGATGACCGTGACATCAAGACACAACCCAAGATTGATGTCTACAATGCTGTAGTCATTCCAATGTTGCAATATGGTGCTGAAGCCTCCCAGATTCAAGGTGGGGATAATCGAAACCAGGGTGACCATAAGAAACTTGTTTCTGGAGATATACACTAAGGTCTGAGGTGGGTGGGGAGATAAGAGGAACTGGAGGATATATCCCTGGGACTCAGGGTCAGAAGTGATAGAAGCCCACACCAGGTGGAAATGGGAAAGGTGGCTGCCAGAAGTGGAGCAGAGGAGATTGAATCCACGCAGATATCTGGTATGTTGCTCCAGAGCCTACCCTCAACATTTTTTATTTGTCCCTTGCTTGTGGCGAGTTGAGCCCGACTGGGCAGGAGTCAAGGACTAACTCAGAATGAGTTTGTATCTCTTGCTCTTTCTGGCAGTGGGCTGTTGTCAGAAGTTGGCCACCCTGACTAGTGGTGTGTGAAGGCTGAAGTGCTTTCAAGTTGGGGCAGGAATATACAACACCAAGATCTTAAGCGTAGTGCAGGAGTCCTTAAGCCCATATAACGTAGACTCTGTCTGTTCAGCAAATAAAGCACAGACATCTAATGAGAGGCCCTGGAAAGACTGCTGTTGCTCCTCTGAGGACAGACCAGAGAGAGCACCAGGACAGCAGATGCTATTGTACAAGTAGCTGAATCTGTCACATCACAAGCAGCCTGCAAAACTGCTCTGGCCACCCCATTTTCTCTTCCAGGGGAGCTTTGAGCTCCTTCTTGGAATCCTCTAGGAATGCCTCCTCGAATTTAGTCATGGTCTGCCACATGTTGAAATTTTAGTTGCCAAAGAATGCTTGGTAGTTAACAAGCCTCAGTTATAAACTGGCTAATGAATAAATCTTTTGACTAAACAAGTCCAGTCTCTTGGAGTTTTTGTCCTTAGGTGCTGCCCCTAGTTACCCCTGCCTCTCCTTTTGGGTGACCGCCTCCACCACCAAGAAACTTGGAATGGGATAAGAATAGAGTTAGTTGTGGTCACTGACTGGACAAAAGTATTCCCTCTCTCTATCCTTTTGGAGATGGGCAAGAGGGAGGTGGGATTCTTCTACAAGGCTGTGGTGAACTTTTGGACACTTTCATGCAAGGATAGGGCCACCCAAACCAGTGTTTGGGAGCTCAACATGTCAAAGATCACGTGTGCAGGCTCTCTGCATGTATTGGCTCCCGCCTGCCCCCCTGCACTGCTGCCCCTGATACATTGAAACATTTTAAAGCCTGCAACATTTTAAAGCCAACATCAGAATACTCTTGTTACATATCTGAATTACTCTTATTAACAGAAACCAACTAGTAGTAGTTCAAGACCTGATCTAAAGAGTCAAGCTGTGATCCAACAGCAGAATGGTCTAGAACTGAAAGACCAGGGAGTCAAATGTATTCTTTCTGGATCTGACATCACATATAAATTAAGAACTGGCAATTAGATCTTACTTAATTTTGTAGATAATGGACTAGTTAGAACAGAATCTCTCTCACTTGTATGTATCCAGCAAGGTTAACAGGTATAAAAAACTAGTTGACAGATATGTGATCTTGAAAATGCAAAACTGCCAGATACAAAGGTATATGGAATAATCACAGACTTGGATATCCTTAGGTATTATGCATATGTTTGTGATGGGAGAATGTATTCTGATTCTGCTGGGGAAGATTGAACAGATTCCTCAAAGCGCTAAAATCAGTGGGGAATAATTACTACAAATCCTTGGATAGGTCACCGTCTCCACAGAAGTATCACCTTCCTGGGACAAACTGTGTATACTAGTTTCAGACTAAGTTCAAGAGGCCAAGCAGACAAATAATTTCTTTTTGGTATAAAGGCAGAACTAAACTGACTCAATCTCTCATTTTATCCTTGAACGTATATGAAACTGTAAGCAAGAGGACAAAACTCTATGGGAAAGGTCTAAAGAAAAGACAGTTTCCTGTTCTGCAAATGGTGTTCTTTGAGGCATGTTACTCTTTCACTCCACATTAGGTGTGTGTATATTTAATCCATGCACCAGTGCTGGAAGATTTTCCCCTTGGAAGTACCCATAGGTGAGTGGTTTGGGCAACTCCTAGTGTGCCACTTTCCCTGCCCTCAGTTCCTTCTTGCCAGAAACTACAACAGTGGAAAAGGAGAGTGGGACAAGACTTTGTACCTATGGGCAAGTCATGTGAGACCACCGCTGGAACCTGACCATAATGTCATGAGAGAACACCGTCTGTCCTTGAATTGACTGGTGGAATGCGGGGGTAGCCACCAGGTGTACTCTGATGGATGAATGGACCAGACCCATTACACTTCAGCACTGAAAGTGAAATTAACCCTTTCCTCTTCAAATAAATTAAAATAGAAGACTGACATTTTGACTACAAAAAGAGAGACTCTCTTGGTAGCAAATGAATAAATTTGTTCTGCACAATTACTCAGTTTCAATACAGAAGCTGGATTTAATTCCTCATTTTCTCGAGTATAATCAATACATTTTCAATTTGAATGCTTTCAGGTATTTGTCAAGTAACTGAGTAAATCAAAGGCCTGTGGAAAAAAAAACTTCTAACTTATTTATCACTACTTAATGGTGGATAGTGAGAGTTTAATTCTTTAGGCCTTTGAAATGGCGATCTATGCAACAGAATCCTACTAGTTCAGATTGCTTGAGGAATATGAGCAGGAACAAATTGGTACTAAAGGGTCCTTAAAAAGTTACTCTAAAAACATTAGCTAAACACAGTTAACTATACACAGCCCATAACAAAATACCCCAAGTCCTCCCCCGCCACCAAATCTTCTAACAAAACATTTTCTATAAACACTGACATTTCTAGGAGTCAGAACTACCTATTCTCAGGTACACAGCAGTATGTAAACAAATCAATTTAACATAGTCTGCAAACAAATGTATGTTAACATTGATATTTGTAAATGTCTTACCAACAGGAAAGGGGCTTTTATCTTCTAAATCCTCCCAGTGTTCAAAATCAAGAGACACATTAGGATTCTGTTAACAGAAATGAAATTTAACTATATAGCTCAATACATAATATTAATACTTTATGCATACATATTTTAATCCATATTTATTCACCTTATGCTTTAGTAGATGGCACCAAAATTCCTTCTTGTCTTTTGCAAGGATAATCATAGGTTCTTCATTCTTAATCACACACACAGACTTTTCTTTATGTATGTTTGCATGCAGTTTCATCTCAGCCACATAAAATTTGCCTCCTGAAAATGCACTGTATTTGTTTAAACAAAACTTAGTTAGTTCTTTTTTGTAAATGAAATGGAAGCTGGTAAGTCATTTTATCTCTTGATGTATATTTTGAACTTACCTGAAAACAATCTCGTCTCTGAAAAATTCACATTTATGGTCATGTATATTTCTTATTTTTATCTTTATGGTAACAGTATCTTCCTTTTGAAACCATTTTATTTCTGGATAGAAACTAAAATTTTAAAAACACTAGTTAAATTGAGCTTATTTCAAGTATCTTCACACATTCAAAAGTTCTAGGCATACTAACAATAACTGAACTTATGATCAATAAGAATATCATTCAGCACAAGAATATCATTTAGCTGAAAAAGGTAAACACTCCACCCAGCAATTATAACTATTAAATATACTCTGTCACTTTATTCAAAACTCCATTTCAAACCCTCTCCCCCAAGAAAAAAAAAGTTACTTACAGTAAAATTGATTCTTCAAGATGTTCTTTGCATGTGAGCCCCACTTTGGGACCATATGCACCCTTTCTTTACACAGGGGTCCAGAAAGTTTTATCTAGCAGTGTCCATTAGGGACCATTTGTGTGCCATGCATGCACCTAGATTCCAACTCTCAAGGACAAAAAGAGTGGAATGACCCCTCCTATTCCCCAGTCCCTTTACTACCCAGGGACCAGATGGGAAAGTATGAGAATGAAGGGTTAGTTGTGGGATCTAGGTGCACAGAACATCTTGAATAAACACAGCCGGTGTAAGGTAAGCAACTATGCGTTTTTCTAGGTTTCTGTGCATATGTTTCCCAAGTACAGTGATTATCCAGCAGTTTTATCTCTCTGGAAATGGAGCTTGGAGATAATCAAAATAAGGACTGAGAACCAACCTGCCAAAATGGGCATCTACTCTTGATGCTCCCACCCCAGAATAATGTTTAGTAAATGTATGGACTGAAGAAGACATTGCTGATTTACAGATTTCTAGTACTGAAACTTAGCAGAAATATGCTGCTGAAGACAAGATTCTGGTTGTTTGTACTGGAGGATCTAATTAATTAAATTTACACATTGTCCTGATGCAATGATCTATTTAGACAATCTGAGTTGAGGTTATTCTCCATTTAGTCTTGCTACCACAGGCCACCTGTTGATCACTAGTGGGTGATCATCAAAAAGATCTCAGTCTATTTAGAGTACAAAAAAAACTGTCCTGGCATGCAGGATATGAAGTTTTGATTCTCCATAAGATGTACCAGCCCAAGGGTGTGTGGGTGGGGATTGCGGGAGAAATAATATGAAGATCCAACACCACTTGTGGGATGAAGTTGGGAAAGGTCTTAATATTTCTTTGCATGAAGAATTGAAAATGAAAGCTAGAATTTCACTTTTATAAACTGCTGTAATTCCCAATAGGAATGCAGCTTTGACAATAAATAATGCATAAAACAAGATGATAAAGATTGTGGGAAGAGAAACTATTAACAACTAAAGAAGAAGAGTCAAAGCCCAGGAAGAAGAAATCATCCTAACTGGAGGGAATATCTGATTCAAACTCTTTAGAAATCTTGCAACTATTTGATGCAAACAAAACTGAAGAACCTGCTGTTAATGGATAACAGGCTGAGATTACTATCAAGTGCACTTTAATAGAACTCAAAGATAATCCTGATTCTCAAAGTTAAATATTCAAAATGGAACAAGATGGGGAAATTAATTGGCTCAAATCCTTATTTTTGCCCAAATAGAAAATTATGCTGTGTGGAGGGTTTTCTGCTGTGGACTTTTACTCTCTGGGAAATTATCCACATATCCACCATGCTATGAAATGAAGAGAAGCTAGATCTGAGTGAAGTACTATACTAACACTCTAAGAGATAATGTCTTTCCATCTGCGGAATGTGATCACCTGTCTTCTCAACAGGCATAGTAGACCTGAGAAACAAAATTGCCAGGTCCAATGCGGTGTTACAAGGATCATTCAAGCCTTGTTCTGCCTCACCTTCCAGTCCCAGCTCATGCACCTCTGCTGATCTGACCAGCATGTGACAGGTGGAGTCAATCTTCCATATAAATTGGTACCAGGACAATTAGGGTAGGCCAAAATCGTAAATCCCTCCCCAACGAAGACAGACAGGTAATGTAGATTAGGAGTACACCTTATTGTAAGTGGGCTGCTACATTCTGTACTACACTGTCAGTGCCCAAACGAATTTAAGATGTAGAGTATTACAATTATCTAATCTTAAGGTAACAAAGGTCTGAACACCACCAGCAGAACAGGCATTTGAGAGGTAAGATCATATAACTTCTTCACCAGAAACATATGGAAAATGAATTTTCTTGATTGCTGTTGAAAGGAACTTATCCAGCATGAGTCATTGATTCAAAAATCACCCCAGAGCTGTGAACTTTTGTAACTAAATGACAGACAAACCCCATTGATCAGTGAGACTGGCTGTTTACAATGTTTTTGTCTGTTTCTTCCAACCTACTATCAAAGAATGTTGAGGTTAACAGTGCCTAACTATTACTCCATGCCATCCATCCATGTAGGCAGTAATGATACTGCTAGGTATGACTTTGAGCAGGTCAGCATTGATAGTGATGACAGGGCTTTGGGTGTCAAGCGGAAAGAATAAAAAATGCAGGTTGTGTTTCTCTTCATCCTCCTGGCTGAAAATAAAGACTTGGGCAGGGATAAACACCCTGAAGATGAATGCATGGCTATGAAGATGAAGTTGGCGTGAAGTCTTTGGCATCTTCACTATGGGATGCTGCTCTGGGAAAAAGAAGTTACTCACCCTGTGAAGTAACGATTGTTCTTCAAGATGTGCCCCGTGGGTGCTCCACTCTAGGTGTCAGGTCCCATCCTGGCACCACGGCTCGGAGAATTCTCATAGCTGTGCTCCGCCAGCTCGCGCATGCGCGGCTCCTCTAAAGCGCCGTTCGCGCCTTTGATCAGCCACACGCAGGATGGCAACCGTCAGTTCCTCTCACCCACTCATCTGAAAGAGAGAAGAAACAAATCCAGAGCCGGGAGGAAGGGTGGGTCGTGGAGCACCCATGGGGCACATCTCAAAGAACAATCGTTACTTCACAGAGTGAGTAACTTCTTTTTCTTCTTTGAGTAGCCCTGTGGATGCTCCACTCTAGGTGACTTCAGAACAGTACCCAAAAAGAGTCCGGAGTGCTCCAGAATTAAAATTTGTGATCATGATTAAGTACTGCAGTAGCCACCGAGGAGTCCAAAGCAAGATGCTCAACTGTTGCATAATGTTTCATAAAGGTGACATTAGAGGACCATGTCATTTCCCTGCAAATATCATGAAATGGAACTCCCGTCAGGAAGGCCGTAGTAGTGGAAACTGCTCTAGTAGAATGAGCCTTTGAAGGACATGGTAGAGGTTTTCCCCGTATAGAGTGACACATAGATATGCATGAAACTATCAGTCTCGAGATACACTGACAGGTCAGTGGTTGGTCTCTAGAACGGTCTGTCAATGATACTATTAAATGGTCCATTTTCCTAAAGTCTCGCGTTCTGTCCAATGTAGAATGCCAAGATTCTCCTTACGTCCAGCGCATGCAGTGTCGCTTCTTGCATTCAGGTATGGGGTTTAGGAAAGAAGCATGGTAGAACCACTGGTTCATTGACGTGAAAATCAGAAGAGACCTTTGGAATAAATGCTGGGTGAGCTCTCAATGTCACTGAGTCTTTAGAAAAAACTGTATAAGGAGACGAAGCCATGAAAGGTGCTCTCTCACTTACCCTATGAGTGATAGAAATGTAGCCGTGTTAGTCATGAAATGGGTTACCCTATGAGCTGAGGCAAGGAGAAACAAAAGCTTGATGCTAAGTATGTGTAACGGAACCGTGGCTAGAGGCTCAAAGGGAGGATGAGATAAAGTGTCCAATACTAGATCCAGATTGCACAAAGGTGGAGGGGGTCTCCGGGGTGGATTAAGGTTTGAGAGCCCCTTTAAGAACCTTTTTGTAGTGGGCTGGGCGAATAGAGAGAAGGACTCGTCCATATGATGAAAGACATTAATCGCTACCAAGTGCACTCGTAGGGAAGCTACTGCCAGCCCATTGTCATGGAGCTGTAAAATGTACTCCAATATACGAGGTAAGGTTGTGGAGCAGGGATCTAGACTGTTGACCGCACACAATGCCTGGAATCTGGACCACTTAGCAGTATACGTTGCTCGTGTAGATTCTTTCCTACTATGCATCAACACCCACTTGACCCTCTGGGAACAGAGTTGTTCGAAATCGCTAAACCAACGAGCATCCATGCTGTGAGGTGTAGAATCTCGGGTCTTGGATGATGCAGGGATCCATTGTTCTGGGTCAAGAGATTTGGGAGAAGAGAGAGAGTATGGTGCTCTTATCGACATCTGGTGGAGCATTGAGAACCAAGGTTGACGAGCCCACGCCGGGGCTATAAGAATTATTTGAGCCCCATCTATGTTGATTTTCTCGAGAACCTTGGGTATTAGAACCACTGGGGGAAAAGCATACAACAGCGACCTTCCCCAATGGAGAAGGAAGGCATCTCCTAGTGAATGACGTCCTATTCCGGTTCTTGAACAATAGGTGGGGCATTTCGTGTTGTTTTCCATCGCAAACAAGTCTATTGTCGGAAACCCCCACCGAACAAATATATGGCTCAAAACATCCATGCACATTTCCCACTCATGGTCGTGAGGGAAACTCCTGCTGAGTGAGTCCACTATCAAGTTGTCGACACCTGGGAGGTAGGATGCTATTCAAATGGTGTTGTGAATACACCAATTCCATATCCGGACACTCTCCACACACAGAGAACGAGATCGGGCGCCTCCCTGCCTGTTGATATAAAACATGGTTTCCATATTGTCCGTCATGATTCTGGTAGTTGTATTCCGTATGTGGGACTGAAAATGCTTGAAAGCATGTCGTACCGCCAGTAACTCGAGCACATTGATATGTAACATCATTTCTTGAGTTGACCAGCGACCTTGAATCGTCAGGTTGTCCATGTGCGCCCCCCCCAGCACGTAAGGGAGGCATCTGTGGTTATTTGCCTTGTAGGTTGTGGGCGATGAAATGGGATGCCCATGAGAAGATTGCTCGGCTTGGCCCACCACTGAAGGGACTCTCGTACATGTTGTGGTACTGCCACTGGTCTGTGAACGCTGTGTTTTGCTGGACTGTAAATCGTGGCCAACCAATGCTGGAGGCA